GGTCTCCCTGGAGCCTTCTCTTCTCCAGGCTGAACACCCCAACTCTCCCAGCCTGTCTTCATAGGAGGAATTTGGGAGCCTCTGCCTCCACAGTTAATGCCCCAACACTCATTTCTCCATGGTCAAATGTCCATCTGCTGGAGCCACAGCAGAAGAGTTCAAAGAGAACAGCTAAGAGATCCACATCTCCAAATAGAGATCCATGTTCCTGTGAGACAGAAGTTTCAGTGAGGTATGAAGAAGTTTTAGGAGGAAATTCTTGAGTGTGAGGGTGGTGAGAGCCTGGCCCAGGTTGCCCAGGGAAGCTGTGGCTGCCCCATCCCTGGCAGTGTTGAAGGGCAGGTTGGATGGGGCTTGGAGCAACCTGGGCTGGTGGGAGGTGTCCCTGCCCATGCAGGGGGTTTGGAACCTGATGATCTTTAAGGTCCCATCCAACCTTTGCCATTCTATGATTCTGTACAACTAAGTAAGACAAAGTTTAAACTTAACCCTAGTAAGAGAAAAAGAGATACCTGGGAACTGCTGGCTCTGGGTTTCAGCTCAGAGGACTTGGAGCTCCCCTATCTCAACAAACAGTCTCTGCATTTGTTCATACTGACCCAGAAGCCTTACACAAAACATCAGCTTCTGTTCACAGACCATGCTCTAAAATGCCCCTTGGAGCACCCCTCCCCCAGAAACAAAAATAAAAATAAAAATATAAAACCAAAAATCAATGCAAAGTTCACTTGGTCAAAGCTACAGAACAACTGACAAGTCCCCCACTGTGGAGCAGGGGCCTGACAGCCCCATCCTGCCTCATCCCAGCTCCTTTTCTCATCTGGAGGTAACTGAGGGAAGCACCACAACTGTTCCTCAGACTTCATCTGCATTAGCAAATATGCAACAGTTTTGCCTCAGTCCATTCCACATTCTCATCCAAAAATATTTGGCAAGGAAGACAAACAAGGAAAGAAAAAGTAATCCAGTGGGGAATTTTTTTTCCCCCCCTGAAGACGTTTTATCTACAGGGATCAAAGAATGGATCTAGTGTCTGTGGTGTGAAAGTGAAGCAAAACAAACTTCATCCCTTCCTCTGAACATAAAGGAAGGAAACTTTAAAACTGTGTCTACATTTAAAATAAAACACATTTCCCCAAGAAACTTTGGCATCGGTTTTGTGACAGTCCCAGAACAGGAGGTAACAGAAGCCACAGACCCAACACAGGTAAAAAAATGCTCAGAACAGATCCCATGGATGAAGGAAGAGGAATGTGGGGGACAAGAAATGCAACGTGATGCAGCATGTTCAGCCTGAAGAAGAGAAGGCTCCAGGGAGACCTTAGAGCACCTTCCAGTGCCTAAAGGGGCTCCAGGAAAGCTGGGGAGGGACTTGGGACAAGGGCAGGGAGGGAGAGGACAAGGGGGGATGGATTGAAACTGGAAGAGGGTGATTTAGGTTGGACATGAGGAGGGAACTGTGGAGTGTGAGGGTGGTGAGAGCCTGGCTCAGGTTGCCCAGGGAAGCTGTGGCTGCCCCATCCCTGGCAGTGTTGAAGGGCAGGTTGGATGGGGCTTGGAGCAGCCTGGGCTGGTGGGAGGTGTCCCTGCCCATGCAGGGGGGTTAGATTTAGTTGATCTTTCAGGTCCCTTCCTACCCAAACCAATCTATGATCCAAGGACAGCTCCAGGAGAAAGCCTCAGATTCTTCCCTGCTCAACACATGGTAGGAAACTCATGTATTTAAGGGGAAGGAAAGAACAGAGGAGAGAGGAAAAGCAGAGGAAAGGGAAAGCAGGGCCTGAAAGCACAGGAAGACATTAAGACTCAACCAGGTTTGATCATTTCACCATCCCAGTAAAGGGAGACATGTCCATATCAAGAGGGGAAGAGGGGAAGACTCTCCTTCCTCCCATTCCATTCCCTGCAGTGGATCCAGGATAATTACACCCCAGTGCAGGCAGCTCCCAGTGCTGCAACAACGCCAGGCAGAGGAGCAAGATTTTGGTTTGGCCTCGTGTGACCTCCCATCAAAGACTTCTACCACTACAGACCTTCTTCTGTTTCTTCTGGCATCAGAAAATGCACTCAAACCAGACCCTATTTTTAAGTTTCACTTCAAGGTTTAGGAAAAAAAAATATTACAAGAAAAATATTTGTAAGTTTAACACAGAGATCTTGACAGGCTTGTGTTTCAAATCTTGGAAATCAACTGATTTCAGGAAGATAATCCATTCAACCAGCCTCATGTCTGCTAAACTGTGATTATTGCTGGGCCACCTTTTCCAAGGAAAATATTATGTTTTCAGTTCTAAAAGCATTAAGGAAGTTTAAAAGCCAAACCATCATACACCACTAAGCATGAATTTTACCCAAGAAGTTTGTAGCAACTCAGTCATCTTGAGCAACAGCTCTTTTTTCATCTCCTCAGAAAATCAGCTGAACTGCTTTAAAGACACAGGTCTTCTGAAAGCTGGGAGCTGAGTTGCTCTAAAGATCAAAGGTCTGGAAGGGTAAATCTCACACTTACAGGGAAAAAAAAAATAATAATCCTTATGAAATTAAAATCCACCTTCCCTGCAGATGCCAATTGTATTCTTACACATGCAAGGGATCAGGCTGATCCAGGGACAAGCTGCCTCTGTATCGCAGGCATCTCCATACTCGGATTGCATTTGCTGGGAGATATTTGCATCCTGAGGCTGGTCAGCTGCTCAGCACCATGTTTGTGCTCTGGGAGCAGAGCCACACACAGACCACAGGCACCACCACGGAGCAGGAGAGGAACCCCAGAACCTGGGAAGCTGCTGCTTTTGCTTCCAGGAGTTTGCAGAAACATTCAGGCTCATTTTTCTCATTTGAGATGATCCCAGGGTTTCATTCCTCCCTATTCAGAATTTTATACAAATGTGCATTATGAAAGTTCCAACTTACAAACTAGCCAAAGAGTTTATTACCTGTGACCTTCTTAATTATAACTATTAACTTCAGTGGATTTGGGATCAGCCTGCCTCCTTAGGCAAACTCATTTTTTGTCTCGGGGAAACCTCTTCTCCCTCCTTGCAGAAACTGAATACAACAATATCCTGTTACCACCTGAAATAAGAACACTGCCCAGAGAGAGGATGATCTCTCATCTCCTCTAAATAGGTGTTATTGTTCCAGGTGCTCTCTGGGAAGTTAAATGCACAGCCCTGTGTTCATCCCCCCTTTTGCGCGTCTTGCAGCAGAGACGGACACCGACAGAGCAGAAGCCATAGCACATATTTCAAAAAATATTCCAAATTCACAACGAGCATATGCATGTGGGGGCAAGTCCTGCAATAAAAAGAGTCTGAATACCTGATTCTAATTTATTCAGTTTTTGGTATGAGCAATCTCTCTCAGATAGCCTTCAAACACAGAGCGTGCGTGCTCGTGGTAATTAGGAGGTAGCGATTAAGCCCAAAAGACACTCTCAGAGATTTACTCCTAGTCAGCACAATAAAACTGCTTGACATGGAAGTCATCCATCACCCCAATTAGCTGCTTCTGTGCAAGGCATAAGTGCCTCCTAAATATCAAATTGAGCAACGTGTATAATTGTCCCTTTGGCAGAAGTTTTATGGGGAAAGCTGAAAAACTCTCCCCATTCCTCCCATCAGGCTGAGGGAAGGAATCTTGTTTTACAGACACTGAAGCTGCATTTGGATAATCAGGCTCTTCAGTTACTTCTCTGAGAAAAGCATCAAAAGTTGGGAAAAGTTTACAGATGAACTGCCAGCAAACATCAAAGATACCAATTTTCTCAGCAGCTCCCATAAATGCTCCTCCTCCCAATAATTCCCGAGCAGTTGATAAGGATCTTGTGTTTTCAGCTTCACACCTTAAATATGCCCTGCTGCAATACCCAACGCCCCTGGATTTGTTACTCCCAGAACTGTTAAAGCCCTTTTGCACAGACAGGAAGGTCTCAGTTCTTTTCTTACATGTTACCACTTCAGCATCAGCTGGTGTCAGAACCAGGAATAAACGAGGAATAAACCAGGCTTCCTGCTCAATATATTGGATCTTACTGCACTAGGAAGACAAAAGCTAAACTCTGAAAGGGCCAACATCAGGGACAGAGAATTTCTGACCAAATTTTTATCCTGGTACAGCCAGAATCTGTCTTAGAAATATGGTGGAGAACTTGGAATCTGGCTTTAAAGTGAGGCCCATAGAGCTGTATGTCAGAACCACCCAGTTCATGCATCTGTCTCATCTGTAAGTCAAAAGAGAAGCTTTACACTTCTGTAATAAAATTCACCAAAGTGATAAGGAACTTTGAATTCATGCTTTCAGATGTCAAAATTCAGACCTCTCAGAGGCTGGACTTGCAAAAAAGCACTGAGAACTTGTCCTGCAGAGACAGGTGCTCTCTTTTCAGAACACTTCTAGAGTCAAAATCCACAAGGTACTTGAAGGAGAAAGTCAGGCTTATCCATACATACTGCTCTGTCAGGAAGAATCAAGTTGCAATTAAAATGCCTCTGTGCAGACAATTATAATCTATTATTTTGCCTATATCACAGCTCAGTTAAAGAAACCCAAGCCCTCTTCCTCACATAAATCTCAATCAGTAGCTCAAAGCACATCCTCTTTGTAACTTGTACGTTCTTCTATTCAAGACTTTCTTTACTCAGCTGCTCATCACAGCTGCCACTGCTGTCAAAGCTTGTGGAAGGAAAACCAGGGAGGGAGTTACAGAGAAGAAGCTGCTAAACCTCACATGAGGAGCCAGATGCAACACACACGTTCAAATTTCATAGAATCACAGACTGGTTTGGGTTGGAAGGGACCTTAAGGATCATCTAGTTCCAACCCCCCTGCATGGGCAGGGACACCTCCCACCAGCCCAGGTTGCTCCAAGCCCCAACCAAACTGCCCTTCAACACTTCCAGGGATGGGGCTTCCATCCCCTCTACCTTTACAATGCAGATAACTTCTTCTCAGCACCATCTGCCCACACTTTACTGTGCTGGTAACCCAAAAGTTACAGTGCAACTGGAGCACGTAGGTCGTAACTCACCTTTTTGAGGTACTCATGTCCACAGGCTCATCTCCCGTCTGAACCTCCACTTTAATGGTTGCTTTCACCTCTCCACTTTTTAATAATCCTTGCACTTTTCCAGCTGCAGGATCTGTCTTTATTTTCATGTCGCCTTCAGCATTGATCTCTGCTCCTAACAGTCCTTTCTCCATCTTTATTTTTTTACTGTCCACATCGTTGTGCGGTACCTCACGTTCTAAGGCTCGTTTCTGACTCCGAGTCCTGCATGCTTCCTCTGTCATTGTGAGGCTCTGGGGAGAGAGGAGACATAAAGGAGTTAAAAAAAGAAAAAAAAAGTAAGTTGGACAAAACACCTTAATTTCAAAACAGGGCAAAGTGCAGTGGTTACTGCAAAAGAAGTTCAGAAAGAGCAATAAAAGCTGTGCCAGGTTGTTCACTTGCCCTATCTTCAACATACATCTCAGGCTGAAGCTGTTAAGCACCCAGCATCACCCTGCTCACACTTTTTATGTTAAGCAAACACAAACAAGCCAAAAAGCAAAACAGGAACACACAGACAAACCTCACTGAGCATAAACTAGACTCACCAAGGAAGAAAAAACCCAACAACCTAACCCAGGAGCCTGTATTAGGGCACAGGAGAATATACAAACCCCCACCATGAAAAAAGTTTGGCTCTTTACCAAAAGGCAGGAAGAATGTATGCATTTGCCTGACATGCAAATAAAGGCAATTACAAAATTCTAGATTAGGATCTCCCTGGGACTGCTGCCATGCCTTTCTGAGGACCTGAGCTGGATTGGGAGTTTCGGGAATCAGACAGCACGGGGAGAAGGACCTTCACACCCTGCACAGGGAGCCTTCCAGATTTCCTGACAGCCTGTGTCCAGGCACTGCCTCTGTCCTTCTCAAAGTTTCTCAGCTCCTGCTGAGGGATCCAGGCTTTTCCACCAGGAGCCAGGCTTTTCCAGGCAGCAGAGGAAGTGCTGGGCTGGGGGAACCAGCCTTAACTCCTCGCCTGCCGGAGTCGCGGGAAGTTTTGCTCCGCGTGGGCTCTGACATCTCAGCCCACACTTGGGTACCTGTGGACACCTACCCATGGGACACCCACCCACGGCACAAACACCCACCCATGGGACGCGGAGCTGAGTCAGGCTTTGATCCCATGACATCACTGGGCTCCACATGACCCTTCCCAGGATGCAGCCTGCGAGACAAAGCACTTTCCAGAAACCAGTCTGAGCCGGCAGCAGGCGACCCGCAGCGGGGCTCACCCTGCCCGGGCACCCGCAGCATCCTCCTCCTCCTCTTCCTCCTCCTCCTTCTCCTCCTCCAACCCTCAGGGTGCTCAGGGACACCAGGCACCAAGGGGATGGCACAGAGTGGGGTGGGGAGAGAGGCAGAGAAATACACCCCCCTCCGCAATTTTTAATCAATCAATTAATTTGAAGCATTCCTCCCATCCCGGATTCACACACACACACTCCTTTTAAAATGGATTTTGAGAGCAAGGCCAGCACACAAGAGTTGAACAAAGTCTTTGAAATGTTTTCAGCGGCGTGAGATTAACATAATTACATAACATAATTAACCTCTGCTCACCCCCCACCACCCCGTTATTCAACCATGTCACACGAGCATTATGTGCAATGGCCATTTTGCTGCTATAAGCTCTGGAAAAGTGACCATAAGTTTCTCTGCATGGTGGTGGATGAAATAGGTAATATATATATATTTTTTTGGGGGGGGATATCTGTTTAAAATCACAGTCAATACACACCTCCCCTCAGCTGATCTGCATTTACAGGGTGGTTGAACTCAAAGCAGCAGAAGCAAGGTGTGTTTTACAGGAAGGTGAAGTCACTGCTGGTGTTTGTGGCAGTGGGTGCAGAGCCCAGCACCAAGGCTTTCATTTCAGCCCAGCTCGGAGCTTCCCAGCTGACAGGGAACAGCCTCTTCCAAACCCCAACAGCCTCAAGAATGCTGGGCTTCTAACTGGACAATCCAGCAACTGCTTCTCCCCCTGAACGAGCCTGACCAGGAATCACAAATCTTATTCCTGTTAATTCAGTGCAAACGCCTCTGAGCCCAGGGCTGAAACAAAGGAGCAGGCAGGGCAGCTACTGCCCAGCTGAGGTAGAGCTGGGCCATCAATCACAGGGACTTTCTTGGAGCAAGACTGCTTAGTCAGGAGGAAACCTCCTTAAACCCTGATCTGGATTTATTTTCAGCATCTTCATACTCTCCAGCCTCGCAGGGATGAGAAGCAGCAACTCCAGCAGCCTGTGCTGATCCTACAGCAGCACTTCAGGCACTCCACACTTCTCCAACACTCACACCACACTGGGTTTCTACTCCTCTTTACCCGCAGCGGGGCTCACCCTGCCCGGGCACCCGCAGCATCCTCCTCCTCCTCTTCCTCCTCCTCCTTCTCCTCCTCCAACCCTCAGGGTGCTCAGGGACACCAGGCACCAAGGGGATGGCACAGAGTGGGGTGGGGAGAGAGGCAGAGAAATACACCCCCCTCCGCAATTTTTAATCAATCAATTAATTTGAAGCATTCCTCCCATCCCGGATTCACACACACACACTCCTTTTAAAATGGATTTTGAGAGCAAGGCCAGCACACAAGAGTTGAACAAAGTCTTTGAAATGTTTTCAGCGGCGTGAGATTAACATAATTACATAACATAATTAACCTCTGCTCACCCCCCACCACCCCGTTATTCAACCATGTCACACGAGCATTATGTGCAATGGCCATTTTGCTGCTATAAGCTCTGGAAAAGTGACCATAAGTTTCTCTGCATGGTGGTGGATGAAATAGGTAATATATATATATTTTTTTGGGGGGGGATATCTGTTTAAAATCACAGTCAATACACACCTCCCCTCAGCTGATCTGCATTTACAGGGTGGTTGAACTCAAAGCAGCAGAAGCAAGGTGTGTTTTACAGGAAGGTGAAGTCACTGCTGGTGTTTGTGGCAGTGGGTGCAGAGCCCAGCACCAAGGCTTTCATTTCAGCCCAGCTCGGAGCTTCCCAGCTGACAGGGAACAGCCTCTTCCAAACCCCAACAGCCTCAAGAATGCTGGGCTTCTAACTGGACAATCCAGCAACTGCTTCTCCCCCTGAACGAGCCTGACCAGGAATCACAAATCTTATTCCTGTTAATTCAGTGCAAACGCCTCTGAGCCCAGGGCTGAAACAAAGGAGCAGGCAGGGCAGCTACTGCCCAGCTGAGGTAGAGCTGGGCCATCAATCACAGGGACTTTCTTGGAGCAAGACTGCTTAGTCAGGAGGAAACCTCCTTAAACCCTGATCTGGATTTATTTTCAGCATCTTCATACTCTCCAGCCTCGCAGGGATGAGAAGCAGCAACTCCAGCAGCCTGTGCTGATCCTACAGCAGCACTTCAGGCACTCCACACTTCTCCAACACTCACACCACACTGGGTTTCTACTCCTCTTTTCCCAGCTTTGATGGGGAAAAGCAGCAGCATCCTGAGCTGCACGGGGGTATTTATCTCCTAGCACAGCACACAAAGAGCTGCCAGGCACAGCCCTGATCACTCACAGCTGGATCTCACTCACCTGAGTTAACATCACAAGCCCTGGAAATGAATGATCCGCATCTCCTGAGCACTGAGTTTTATTAAAAAATGAACACAGTTAAAATCCTAACACCCAGGCAGGGAATGGATCCTGAACATGTCACTGAGCACCTGCTTTCCAGCCAACCAGGACAGCTCATCCCAAGGTGATGGGCCCCAGAGCATTCCCCTCCGAGCCCTTCCAGGGGCAAACCCTCCATACACCAACTCCTTACCAGGGTCAGACTGGACAGATCAACCACCCTGATGATCATCTACCACTCCCAACAAACTCTTCCTGTTGCAAATTCTCAAGGCCACATCTTGCACCCTATAATTCCTCCATGAACTGGCAGCAGCTGTGACATAGAAGCATGGAATGATTTGGGTTGGAAAGGACCTTAAGGATCATCTAGATCCAACCCCCTGCATGGGCAGGGACACCTCCCACCAGCCCAGGTTGCTCCAAGCCCCATCCAACCTGCCCTTCAACACTGCCAGGGATGGGGCAGCCACACCTTCCCTGGGCAACCTGTTTTGAGTGATTTCTCCTTGCAGCCATTGCTCCCTTATCAGACAGACAAACTTCACTTTGTCGAGGAAATGGCCTCAGCTTCCCTGCACATTCCTTAACTCACACAACCAAAAAGCAGCACCTACATTTTCCTTCGAGGAATGGATTCACTCCCAAGTTTTTGTTAAAAATTCAGAGCATCTTGTCACAATGAGGCTGGAAAGCAGCAAGTGGGGACAGTGACTGCCAGAGAGAAGAGCAGTGCTCACAGCACGACCAAAACAGCCTGTTGGGAAGATCTACATTACTGGAGAGACCTTGGGATGAGATTGCACTCAGATTTTTACAGCTGAATCTGGAGATTCCAAGCACAGGCTCAAGGTTTAGATTAGTGTAACAGAGGGATCTGGTTGTGCAGTTCCCTCCCCACAATAGTGATTAAACCATATTTTTGTAGATGAGCCCTAAAGCCAAGTTCCCTAAAGTAGTTTTAACCCTTTCAGGAAATAACACTGGAAAACAATTTGCTGAGCTGGATGAAGAAGCAGAGAGACCTAAAGAAAAAGTAATGTAGTGCTGAGAGAAGAGGGGGAGAAGATAAAAAGGAGACAAAATACTGAGGATTTCCTTTAAAAAGCTGTTCTGCATCTTTTCAGGAAAAGAGATGAAAACTGGTGATGTCAGAGAGTTTAGTGGGCATCAGCTGGGCCCCATCTCCTGCAAGTCAGAGGGCACCAAGAAGCAGGTTTGCAGTTTAGGTGGGTCCCTGACAGTGTCTGTTCCATGCAGCAGACTCCAAACCACTTCCCAAAAAAGCCTAAACTCAAGGTCTGTAGGAAAAGGTTAAAACCAGAGGAGAGCCCTGGAAGAGAGGAGGAGAAATAGTCACCTGCAAGGACCTGCACCAGCAAGGATGATGTCCTTGGTAATGGAGAGGCTCCTTGCACAAGGAGGCAAGAGAAATGCAAACACACCTGGGAAGAAAACTTCCTCCTGGTGGCAAATCCAGGAGTTTGTTTAATCAGCACTTGAGGAGGACACAGCAGTGTCAGAGGAGACTTCAGCACCCCTGTTAAACAGCACCTTACCAGAGAATCATAGCATCATAGAACCATGGAATCACAGAATGTCTTGGGTTGGAAGGGACCTCTAAAGGTCACCTAGTCCAACCCTCCTACA